AGACTGCGTACCACAACGACGACATCGCCATATCTCACATCTTTTGCCGATATTTATGGCCTCGGGTTAAAAGTTCAAATGCTGCCCGGGAAGACGAAGAGCTTGGCTTAATCAAGGCCCCCAAAAGCCAAAGTCGATTAATTAGAGACTTACGAGGTCCGAAAGAAAAGCCAATAAGCTGCACGTACACAGGTGCGAACCGGGTGTTGTCCCGGTTCTATAACTCAAGACTCTCGGGGAGTGAAAGGTGCCTAGAAGGATCGGGCTTTAACTTTGGCTTCGCTTCGGGCCCTCGGGCATGTCAAACCGGACAGACAGCCATCAAGCAAAACCGAAATGAGGGAAAAAAAGCACCTGACAGGCACCGGCAACGCCACAGCCGTCAACAATATCCATCTGAAAGAGGTCATAAAGCAAACAGTTTAAGGTGAAAGGTGCTTCGCGGACATGCAACATGCAACCAAAGCTGCCAGTTTACCCAAAAAAGAAAATAATAAAATTATGAAATAAAGAAGGAAAGGTTAAACTCAGGGATCGAAGGTTTAAATACCCTTTGAGGTAGTATTTATAATATAATTTGTGGGAATTTTTTGATAATATCTGGAGGGTTTTTAAGGGGTTTCTATGATTTCCAAGAGTCTTTGCTATATTATAAAAATATATTCTTTAATGTTCTCAATTCTTACTCAAATCGTTCACATATATTTAGGCTTTTTCTGCATTTGAAGTACTATAAATGCTTTCCTTAAACCCATATGAATCCTTTTAAAATACTGCCAATACCCTCTCCTGTTGGGTTATAAAAAAAGGGAAGAAATATGTCTACAAAAATATGGCTTGGCTATAATTAATTTGCTGCGGTGGCTGTTGCTGCAACGCAGTTATTGCTGCTGGCAGACCAAAATCAAAAAAAGTCACTTATGACTGACACTTTGCATATTCCGCCACGACCATCACCTGTGGAGCTAGTGGCTCTGGCGGAGATGAAGATGACTACCCAGACATGCAGTGACTTATGATTTTTCAGTGGAATCTTCACCAGTGACGACTCCACCTCTCCGCCGCCGCCGCCGCCGTTGATGATTTACGGAAAAAGTTACAAGCATTTGATTTACGATCGAGGGAGAGGCCTCAAGAGTTTTGCCTTTTTTTCTGCGTTGTTTGGGGCGTAATGCCGCTGATGGATTTGTCAAGTTTGTGGGTCAAGAGTTGCTACTTTTGCTGCTCTTCTGCTGGATTTCCGCCCGGCGATGATTACTCAAAATCGCAGCTCCGGTGAAATTTGAAGCTTTGTGGAGTTGAGTTGAGAGTTCCCGCGAACGAACACTGGCGGCAACTAATTGCGACAACGGCAGCTCACAAAAAGACATTTAAATTTTTTTTTCCATTCTTGCCAAAAGTGAGAAAAATAACCAGTTTGTAGAGCTCAAAAGCAAGACGAAGCCGCTGATTGACTGTCAGATGACCTGATGACCCCCCTGGCGAAGATAACTCTTCATGTGTGACAAGGTGTCGATTTAATAAAAGAGGTGCAGCAGCAGAAGCTACAAGTTTTCAAGAATTCAAAAGAAGTTTGGAGAAAATTAGGAAAGATTTGGGGAATGGCCTGGGGAAAATATTATAAAAGAATATTATATAAATTGTAAATAGTATATTTTTGAAGGAATATATAGTTCAATTTAGTTCTTAAAGCAGAGAGAACATTGTCTCATGCAATTTGGTAAAAAGGAGGCCTTAGAAAGAGCTGAGTTTCTTTGTTTTTAATTAATAATATAAAAGGTTGAGGAGTCCTTTGTTTAAGAGAACTTCATTGAAGTTAAATACCCAATTGTTGGTCCAGGAAAACTAAATTTAATTATATATTCTTTAAGAAGATATTACAGAACAAGGAAACTCATAAGAACTTTAGACTTAAGCAACTCATAACTAAGATACATTTATATCTATGTGAGTTTCTCCTCCACAATTAAAATTTATTTAATAAATATATATTAAATATATAATATAAATATTTATATATATTCTTAAACTCTTTTACAAGAAAACCTTCAATGCTGGTTTCGAATATCACTACTCCCGGCAGGCAATTAAAATATTTCAACATTTGTTTGCCATTTGTTTATTTGTGTCGCCCTATGACCGACAAGGCAAGAATGTTGCCAACATGTTGGCCAAAGCCAACACTCCACCTGACTTGTAATAGAGTTTTGTACCAACAGATTGCTTTTTATTTTCTATTTCTATTTCTTGCATTTGGCATGCGACCTGAAGCTCTCTAGAGAGCCAGTAAATCATTCGCCAGCGACAACGGACAACAACTTGTCAACGGTTCCATGGAGTGTATGGAGAGGGGCATGGATTTGGATATGGATGTGGATGTGGATGTGGATGTGGATGTGGATATGGATGTGGTTGTGGAAGTATCTGAGGGATGGGGATTTGGAGTGGGGTCTCCTCGAGTGGATCGAGTGGCGATCGGTAGATCGAGAGGCGGCTGACCGGCTGCTGTTGCAGCTTTTGCATGTGCGGCTCTTTATTTTTGTTTTTTTTGTACCAGTCATGGCTCAGGTTGCATATAAATGGAGCTTAATGAGCTCGTGCCAAATAGAATTGTCAGCGGGGCTAACTTGGGATGCAGAGAGAAAATTATTAAAATTAAATTGAAATTAAATATAGATTTTATAACATCAAAACATTCTCATTCTTTTGTTGTGTTTAAAATAGTTTTGCAATGATCTCTTTTTGAAAAATCCTATAAAAATTTATAGTTTTTACTAGAAAACACATTAAAATCTCCTATAAAAAAAAAAAAATCACATAAAATATGCCTCAAAGTGCCTTAAAATATGCCTTAGATTTAAATTTAAAATATCCTTGCTTAAATTTCAATTTTGTTATATAAAACTTATATTTCCCCTAAGAATATTTGATATAAGATTCATTAAAAAATTCTAAATGAAAATCTTTTCCAGTGCACGTTCGTGTTGCACTCAAATTGTTGGTAGAATTCCGCAATTTAGCGGTTTTATGGCCGCGCTTTTGATTCGATCACGAAACCATAAAGCCAAAGACATATCTCAGCTAAAAGCCAAATATGGAGAAACGCAGGTTTCCTACGCCTTCAAAAGGGGCGCGGCAGGTGCGGATATTATTATTATTTTATATTTTCCTTATTTTTTTTTGGGCTTTCCCACGCGCCTAGAGGCCATTTGCTATAAGTTTTAACTGGGATTCCCTCCTCTCTATTGTTTTGGGATGCAATCTGCCATCTTGGCTTGTTTCATGCACTAACAAGCTGCCGTTTTGCAGTTGCACCTTTATTATTTTTAATTGGACTGATTTCCCGCTACAGATACATGAGTATCTGCGTTGACATATGCGGCATTGAGTCCGCCCGAGTCCATCCAATCATCCTAGGCCATCATCATCCATCGACCAGAGACGAATGAGGAGCGAATGGCGATTGAACGGCAGCTGGACGATGCGGAACCAGGAGCTCGGCAAGGAAAGGACCAACCCAGACCAGGCGCAGATGCACAGATGCGAGGAGAGCGAACGAGGCCTTCATCTTGACCAGCTGTGTGGCTCCATGCCAAGGGTTGTCGCCCTGCAGGGTTGCTGCTGCTCTATGAACTTTTCCCACGATTGCGTCAGCGCCTCAGCTGCACTTTTGCGCGCTGTTTAAAGCGGTAAAACACTGAGAGAAATGCTTAGAATATAAAATAGGGTATAAAATATATATTAAATATTTAAGGAGAGGCTTTAAATTTTATTATAAATTAAATACTTAAGAGCATACCCGCATGAAAATCTCTTTATACCTTTTCAGGGTCTTGTAATTTTTGTCAGAGTCATTTTCGACCCTATAAACCATATATATTCCTGATCAGCATCAATAGACGAATCGATCTAGTCATCTTTAATTGAAAAAAAATTTCCAAAATTTTTTTTAAAATTTTATAATCGTTAAAATTTTCAAAAATTGTCAAAAATTTTCACTTTGTTAATCTTTTAAATTGAGTATGCAGATGTTTTATCCGTATAAAAACTAGCATAGAACAGCTTTCAAAATTAAAATTAATGCATTTTTGTCTAAGTTATGATTGATTTCCATTTGAAAATGTATACAAATTTGACTTTTTGAAGTTTATTATCTTTTTTATTTAAAATTCTGTAAATTAGATAATTTGTAATATTAATATACAACTTATCAGTGGTTTTTATTTGACCCTATTTTAATTTAAATGTTGTGCGTGATAACCCAAACTTTTCCCTCAGTGCCTGCCTATTTTATTTTGGCATTTTTTCCGCGATTCCTTTTTTTTTATTGTGCGCCTCCCGTTGCGTCCTGGCGGCTGCACGTCCTTGGGGTGGCGGAGTACGCCAAGTCAGTTGAGAGTTAGCGACCTCAATTAGGGGTTGTCATCCAATCAAGGCCCGGAAGACGGAAGACGGGGAGATCCTTGGATCTCGATTAGGAGTCGCTGACGTACTGCGACATTGTGACGTCACCGCGATTCCCATAACAGATATTTGCATTCATTCATCCATTCATTCATTCATTCCCTCATTCAATCCAGGTGTTTAGAGGCAGGACTCGACGCCTTCCAGTCAGTCAGCGCCGTCGCCCTTTGTCCTCCGCTTGACTCGCCACAAAAAGGATCCCGAAAGGGTCTCTCTTTATCGACGGGGCAACGCCTCTATGAACCCATGAACTGGGTGTGTGTGTGTGTGTGAGTGAGTGTGTTTTCTTTAGGGCTAGATTATGTGGGCATATTATTATTATTGATTGCTCGGAGGGGGATCAGCGGGAATATTAAAGGATTTCAAAATATTTAAGCTTTAGGGGAAGCCAGGATTTAATTGCAAAATATTTATAGAAAGTATACGCATTAAAGGGCTTGAAATGAATGAAACAGAAGTATTTAATAAATATATTTAGAGAACCCTATTTTAAATGTCAATTTTTAAATAAATATCTTTTATCAGTATCACTTATAGTTACCCCTGACTACTAACTCTCTTAATCCCATTATAATTCACAAATATTTCCATTAATTTCTCTGTAACAAAAATCTCAAAGGATTCCCAACGTAATGCCTCCTTATACCTGGCGCCAGCCTGAGTTTCCCGGCGATGGCAGTGACCACAAGTGGCTAGATCCCACCCTCTTGGTCATCTGCCAGAATGCGGATATGGAGTCGGCAATTGAACCCCTCCTGAACAGCCTCAAGCAACCATTTGCTCCACGCCGAGTGGCCTGCATCTTTGTGCATGAAACCATGAGGGATGCCTTCTGTGAGCTAATGCGATCCTCCATGGAAATAATGCATCATCAGGCGGCAAGCCACTCGCATTACCTACGAACAGTGGCCATGGTGAAGTGCCTCCAAGCGGAGACAGTCTGTCTACTGACACCAGATGACATCAATTTCCGTTCCAAGATGACACCCGGTTCACCGATGATTGTCTGCGAATTCAATCAGAACTTCTTTGGGGGTGGCAAACCCACCTCGGTGGTGACCATGCACACCTTTCGCAATGCCTCCGAATTGCCTAGTTTACTGATCAACGAACAGGTGCCCTTTGTAAGTGCCGCCATTTGGGGCCGAAAGATGGCCTCAGTTTATGAGGCGGCACTCCAGCTGGACATGACCGTGGTCTATATCAATTGCCATAATGTGCCATTGGTGCCCATTCGAGAGTACTTTGAATTCAAACAACCGCATGTGGTTATGGCACAATATCATCACTTTGAGGTGATCTTTCATGAGGGCAAGTATCGGATGATTGTCTATCCCGCCAAGGTTTTCTGGGAACCATCAGATGGGAAGGTAGCAACGGATGCTGAGGAAGAACCGCCATCCGAGGGCAAGAACAAGAAGCCTGGTCACAATAAGAAATAATCTATGCTTGAATTGTAGATTTCAAGTGTATTTTAAAGTCTCCAGAAAGTAAAGATAAATTTATGGTACATTTAAGAATGTTTTTTAACATTTTTCTCGATGGAAATTTATTTACTTTTAAGATAAAGTTTCACAGGTTAAAAAACTCTTTTTCCTGACCATCAATCAGCTTTAAAAATGTAATGTAAGCAAGCATTATAAATTCAAATTAAATCGGCTTTGTTTATCGTCTTAAGTAAATGCATTAATCGATAACTCTTTCGTTTAAAGCTATCCATCAAAGCCGAAGATCAGCCAAAAACTGTCATCGATCTTTCTCCGATTTTCCTTTTGCAAAAACTGTCAAATGTCAAACGGCAGCGGGTTGAGCTTGAGTGTGTGTTCAACTTTTGCCGTCGAGTTGTTAATCAGCCGAATCAAAAGTGTGCCAGCAGCCATTTAGACATTGTAGTCAGCTCAAGGATTTTGACAGCTAAGCTGACGTGACGGAAAAAGAAAAAAAAACCAAACACACATAAAAAAAAAATAGAATTAAGATCCAGGGAACAACGAGTGTATGTCGTGTGTCTGAGAGTGCACGAAAATGACTGGCAACCAGGTGAATATGCCAAGCTCAAGCCCAGTGTGCTCGAAATGCAATGAAACAATCAATCAAAGCGCTCAAAGAGGCTTGTCGAGCAGATCGGAGGGAGCCACGAGTTGTAGCCATGGCAATATATGTAGTAATAGTAATGGGCCTGGCCGCCATCTAACGGTTGAATTGCGCACACAAAAGGCACAAAATCAAATTACCAGCAATGATTAATCAATCAGCACCGTGTACCCGCTTCAGTCTGAGATACTTAGATACTTGAACTGCAAAAACGAATATCAAGCTCATACATCCCATTGCCATGTATCTGAGTATCTGAGTATCTATGCAGGTATTACACTATGCCAAAAAGGTTTATACTTTGGGCTAATTAAATAAGAAAGAGTTTAATTTAAAGTGTTTTTTGAGCTAATTGAAAACTAAATGATATCTTGGGTAAAAGTGTCTGTGGAGATAATATTCAATATATGTGTATAAACGAAATATAAATATAAAAACAAGGTAAATAAGTTTGGGATAAATGTGCATACAAAAAATATTTAAAAATAAATAGTTAATAGTTTTTCATTTGTTTTCATTTATATTTACAAATAAAATCCACCACCCAAGGACTTTCAGTTCACAATTGTGGGTCGTAAACCAGGATCAACTTCCTGTCAGAAAGTGCTTTTCATTTGTTTACATCAAAGTTGCAGTCCACTTCCTTTGAGAGAGTGCTTTTCATTTCGTTCGTCTACATTTCAATTTCAAGGGCAATTATCAGAGACACAAACCCTAATGGCAAATCTCAGCGATCATAAGGGAGGTGGGGAGAAGAAAAGCTCTTCACTTAATATTACTAAACAGCAATAAAATAAATATAGAAATAAAAGAGATCATCACTCACTTTGTTTGTTGCTGGAAGTTGAATATCCGAAAGCGCTCTTCCGTTTCTGTTTTTCCAAAATTCTCCATATTTTCACACACACAAAAAAAAAAAACAAAAAAAAATCACAGTAATCTTACAAAATGCACAACAAAAAAAATCACAAAAAAATATAAATAATTACATATATATAAATATATATGTTAAGCCACCGAAAAAAAAAAAACTTTTCACTCACTTTTCACTCACACTTTCATCCGCTTTGCTTTTCTTCCTTCTTATTTCGCTTGCAACGGATTTACCGATCTAATGCAGAAGCGCACAAAAGCGGAGACCGAAAATAGCGGGACTTTAAACCGCTGGCACATTCGGAAATTTTCCATTGCACTTGCACAACACAAAAAAAAAAACAACAACGAAAACTAACGGCTGTACACATTCCGCGCGTATATTTTTCCGGCTTGCTTTTATCCCGATATTCGGTTCCGATGTTTTTTCACGGCGAATATCGCTCACGATGTCGCCATTTACCGCTTTCTCCCGTTTTTTTGCACTTGTTCATTCCTTCAATGGTCCGTTATTCGTCCTCCGCACGTCACGCGACTGAAAATTGCAAATTGGAGCCCCGAATGACTCTACCGCCGCTACTCCCGTTCAGTGGCGATCTTCGGCGTATGTGTTCAAGGATATTACTTTATATTATTTAGCACTAATTAATCACTACACTAAAAGCGGACCTGCGCTTTTTGTTTAGTTGTTATTGCACTTCACTTATATTCCAATTGTGTACCAATTGTGAACCAATTGAAGCTGCGAGCGGGGCCCAACTCCTTTGGTCCGAATTGCACAACAAGTTTTCCTTAATACACAAGTTCCTTGGTATCCAATTGGGAAATCGGGTTGTTCTCGTTGTTTCACTCACTTTTAATTCACAATTGGATCAGTTTTCACCGGGAAATTTGATCTTTTTTCCGCAAGGTTGTGCTCCGCAAAATTTCCGTGGCCATTATCAGTCGATAGGTCGATAACATTCTGTTATTTAACATTAGCACGCCTACATAACATTTTACACGTTTACAGATACATGGGGTATAATTCTAGCTTTAGCGGTAGGAATCTCATGTAGGAAGTAGAATTCTCATGTAGGAAGTAAAATTTATTGACAGACCTGCTCTCATCCAGAGAGAAAGGTGAGTAAATTAATGAATTCTCTCTCGTTGGCTGACGGGCGCAAGGCTGCAAAAGCACGATATTAGTTGTATCGATATATCGAAGCTTGTATTTAAGGATAGAGTATCGTTTAAATAGTATCGATCGCTTAAATAGCATCAGTATCGATTTAAAAACACATTCTTGATACAAAAAAGTGCTGTTGTTCTCTCTTGTTATCCTGCAAAAAATGTTCTTAATTCCGTAACTATATTTACCAGTTTATAATATTTATTTAACTCTAATATTTTCTCCGTGTTGGCCATAAAGCCACCGCATAAACACGATCTCAACGCTGGCCTCGTCTGGACCCGCTGATAGTGGGTGTGTGTGTATATGCGGGTGTTTGTGTGTGCCAAAGTGCTGGCCAAGTGGGTGCGTTCTTACAGCTGGATGCCCGGCGTCCAAGTCCAAGTCGAACTGCCAGCAATCACGATCCAGCAAAAGCCAGAGATACAGCAGCAGCAGCCGGCACACACCTGCAGACTCTCACTCCGCCAAAAGCACACACATACCCCGCACCCCGCACCCATACCCCCATGGCCGTGTCCATGCCACATCCACGTGTGCGTTCCAATGGCGATTCCCAATCCGAATCCAACTCCAAATCAATGCTCTGGCAGCGGCGGCTTCTTCCCAAAAATGGTTGCACCGCAGCGGCGACGGCGATCGTGCCAAAAATGGGTTTGCAACTGGAATTCGCTTTTAGCCAGCAACATAGACGAGCACTCGAACGTGTGGAGACCAGATCCAGCATCTCAGATCCAGCTCTTAGCACCAATTGATGCACTGGGGAAAATAATATGGACTAACTTTGGACTATTATGGAAGCATAATAGAGTTAGGACAAAGAACAGGACTTTGCCAATATCGTTTTTAGCATCTATGAGCCAGAGGCAGCTATCTCTTATCAGAATCAAAAGTGGGTATAATTTCCAGGAAGTACTTCCATTGATTTCGATATTTTAGATATAGTATGAACTATAAATGTTCGATCTTTGTTACCTACCAAATTCTTAACCCTCTTCACTTTTTCTTCCAGTGCATGACATTATATTTCCCTCCGGCGGATCTTGGCTAACTCCCAAGTGCAGGTGGCGATTGGCCAAGACCAAAAGACCAAGATCAGAGGATCCAAAGAGCAGCTGGTGGTGTGAACAGCTAGAAAGTTGTAGTGCCCCCCTCATTCTCCTCCTGCTCCTCCCTGGACTTCTCCTCCTCCTCCTCCTGAGATCGTGAGAATCAGTGCGGCGACTGGAGCTGGAAAATTTATTTGTGTGCTGGCCAAAACAAATGCCGCGTGATTTCAATTTATGGCCATCTAATGAAAATTTGACAAATAGCAAATGGGCAAGCTCACTTTTGTGGCCAGCACCGGGGCTCTGAGCCAATAACATACATCATGATCATGATCACTAACTGCCGCACCGGCACTTCCGTCAATTGATTGAAATGCCCCTTACGTGGCCCCAGTATAGAGGCCTTACATCCAAGTGAGCACCTACCTCCTAGCTCCAGATACAGATACATCCACTGACTGAGGTCCAAGGAGCCGTCTGTCAAAGTCCGCATCAAGTTGTGCCTGCTCCGATTTATGTCTGCTGGCTTTAGTCAAAGTCGTGACCCGCGAACATTGAACTCCCAGTGAACCGATCTTGTCTCTGGAGCAGCAGCCGGATTAGGGTATCCTTACTGTGGAGCTTAAATTATGGAACTATCTTAGGGGTTTCACTTAAAAAAAAAGAAGGTATAGAAACTTAGCAGTCATTTTAAAGCCTTAATATCCCAAATATTATGCAAAACTTAATCATATTTGAAGAACTCTTTAAAACCCATTTTAAATAATAATTATAGCCAAGCTCCCGTTTAATTTTTAGTTTCAAAAATGGTATAAAATCCAAATATAACTCCCAACAAATTATAAATACTATAATTAATATTTTTTCTCTACGTTTTCCCTACTGCTAGAGTGAAATATAATCCGTGATAGAATAACCCCAATGGGTCGATAGTGAAGCTATCTCACCTTGGCTTCCACAGTGCAAACTTAACTCTGGCTGCGGGAGTTTTAAGATTTAAGTCTTGGTTTTATTTCGGGTGCCCAGAGGCAACGCCACACATTTGAGGCGAAATGAATTTGAAAACCGCCAGCACGAAGTGCAATTTTCAAGAGGCCAGGCCAGAGTACCGAAAGTGTTATTACTGTGGGAGCTGGCCGGCATAATGAAGCCATTGCCATGGGCAGGCCAGGCCAGACAGCTGAAGGAGGCAACAAAGACCAATGCGAGCCCATTGTCAATCATATTTGAGTTGATTTTCCCACATTTTATGCGCCAGTGATCGCGTTTTGGTTCAACTGCAACTCCTCATGGGAAAATCACTGAATTGTTTGGCTTCGCCTTGTTGAGCAACAATTATTTGGCTTTGGTTTGCGGGCCCTATTTTAAAGACATGTCAGGGTCTAGAGGGTCTAAAGAGTCCGAAGACAACCCCCACGCACAACAACACCTCTTCAAAGTGGTTGCGCTTCGCTGCAGTCCCTAAAAAACTACAGAAAAGTCACCAGGAAAAGCGCATTTCTGGGGTTGCAACTGCAACTTCACGGTTATTATTTAGGCCAGAACGGAAGTGCGCTTCTTGAGATCTTCTCAGCTGACCAACTCTTTCACACATCCCCTCCTGCTCGTCCAGGTGTTTCTGGGAAAATGTATATGCCAAAAAAGAAAATATAAATTAAAACCTTTGAGTTCAATGTGCGTATGTTAATTTTGTTTATATATTTTTTAGCGGAAATTTAATTCAGAAGCGCTGACATTTGGATACGCTCGATTGGTTTTATAAAATAAAAATAAAGAGGAAGTTTGTATACCTTGTTATTTGATTATAGAGAATTGATCCATTTAGGTATGTAAAACATAGATATTTTGCTTTGTTTTATAGTATAGGGTATTATAATTTTAGTTAGAAGCTTAAATCTCAGTAAAGGAATCATTTCCGACCCTATACACCATATATATTGTTGATCAGAATGAACAGCTGCATCCATCTAGCCTTGTCTTGTAGAAAAATAAATGTTTCATTTTTTTTCCCAAAAAAAGATAAGGTAAGATAAGATAAAATTGTCAGAAATTGTTTCAAATTTCAAAATGCAGTATGCAGATTTGTTAGCGCTCTAAAAGTTAGCACAGAACAGCTTCCCGAATTTAAATTAACGTATTTTTGGCTTAATTATGATGTTTAAAAAACACTGATTATTTAAAAAAAAAGTCTATTTTTATACCTTTTTGCTGGTTATTATAATTTTAGTTAGATGCTTTTAACTGCATCAACAAACGCAGTATGCTGATTTGTTAGCGCTTTAAAAAATTGCACAGAACAGCTTTCCGAATTGAAATTGAAATTTTTGGCTTAATTATGATGTTTGAAAAACACTGATTAATTAAAACAATTGCCTCTTTTTATACCTTTTTCCGGGGTATTAATATTAATCAGAAGCTTATAACACAATGAAGGAATCATTTCCGACCCTATAAATCCTATATATTCTTGATCAGAATGAACAGCTGAATCGATCTAGCCATGTCCGGCAGAAAAATAAATTTGTGTAATATTTTCAAAATTTTTTAAGGGGTTACATTATTAAAATTTAAAAAAAAAAATGAAAAAAAATAATCTTTTTATAAATTTGAAATTTTTTAGGAAGATTTATTAATCTAATCAAAACTAAAATAAGACAGTTTTCAGACTTGAAATTAATGCTTTTTTGGCTTAGTTATACATATTTTAAATTTTGATTTGACTTTAAAAATTCAGATTATAAAAACTGGAACATATTAAGCTATTAATCCTATAATATAATTGCAAACTGCAGCGGTATATAAAATTCAGCTGCGGAAGCTAGAATCCTTTCTTGTTTTTTTTGTACATACAATGACTTACATTTTACATCACTTTAAGCGCCACCTACTGTTACCTATTAGTACTCTATAGATTCTGTATAACAGCCGGTAGGAGGCAGCAGTGATAGTTGGCGGAATAAATAACCAACACACATATTCTCTTATTTTAAATTGTATATAAAAACAAAACAGGGTGATGTGGATATCAAACTTCTTTTTAACATTAGAGTTACAATTCAATTTTAAAATTCTTATTTATACAATCTGCCACCAATATTAATAAACAATATATAATATATAAATAAATAAAATAAAAAGTGTTCAGTAGCCAAAGTGTCAGCGCCAGTTTGTGCTACTTTATCGATAGTGGGACTATCGATACGTAGCCGCAACAGCTGTTTTGATCATGATACCTTCCCCCAAAACGGCGTCCGAAAATAAAAGAAAAAACTTAAAAAAGAGCCTAGCCTAGGCAGCTGTAAAACAATTAACTTATTGACAATTTCCGAGGATTGGTTGCCAAGCGAGTGGATGTAAACGATGGACATCAAGCGTAAGTTGGACTGCAGTAAAAACATAAACAGAAATCAATAGTTATGCTTATATCTACGAATACCAGTTAAAGATAAGAAATGGACAACCACATACACACAGATGTTGCTGGAAATGTACACCGAACGACAGGAGCAGTTTCGGGATCCGCGACGTAAGGTCAAAGATGTCTGGGGCGAGATGGTGACCGTGCTGACCAACCAGGGAATGACCGACATTGATGCCGTGCAGCTGGACCGGAAGTTCAGGAACCTGAAGAAGACGTACTTTTGCATCCGCAACAAGCATCTGGAGCGCGGGGCAGACTATCAGCCAAACTGGCAGTTCTACGACCAAATGTCTGAAATCCTCAAGGACGAGGCTCCGCCTGGCACCCAGGTGGTCCTGAGCTACGATGATTACGACCACTCAAACCCAATGGCCTCGTTCCTCGTCGACAACAACGACGAAGCAGATTCGGACATCTCAATCCTAGGCGGTAATCAAGAGCCTGTCGTTACACCTGCGGAGGTGCGTCCCAATCGGAAGCGGCATACCATGGACAACGGCGGCAGGCAGCAGCCGAAGAATAGAAGGAGCAACAAAATGCGTGGGGAACCACCGGAAATGGATCGCATTAAGGTATATAATGCCGCCGAGCCTGAGGTTAGCATCGTAGAGACCAAGGATGAGCTGTCCATTAGCACCGCCGAGGAGGCGTTGAAGCATTTGAGGGCCATCCAGGAGTTCGCCATGATCCAGGACAATTTTCGGGCCATTGGGCTCCTCATGCAGGCGGAACATGCCATCCAGTATCCGGCCAAGGCCAAGGACTTTGAGGTGGATCAGTCGTGAGGGAATCCTTAAACCCTTAAACATTAAAACTAGACTTTAGGTAGCATAATAAATTATACATTTAGCTTTAGGAAACAAATTGGAATATTTGTAAGCTTTAAACTTAAAACTATTTCTTTCTGCGGCTTATACTTGTTAGTATGTCATAAAGAATATAATTTATAATTATGACCAAGAGGCTTGTAGAAAAATGTTTGTAACTAGGTGTGGGGAGTTTAAAGGAAATACAAGTCTTTTTTTTGTTTTGGCAGTATGGCCTTATCGAATCAATGAACTCTTTATTGGCAACTCCATTTTAGTTAACCGGCAGCCTCGAATCCACAATGTCTTTAATGGCAACACCTGTCTAACAATCCGGCAATACCATAACCAAATACGGTCACACTCGACACATAAACAATACAAATCGTTCGCAATATAGCTGACTTTGGTAAATTAAATGGAAAATCATAAGATAGTAAGCATATTTGCCTTGGGCCCCGCACCGCCTGGATACCGTAAACCGAACTCATCCCTCTTCATCCACCTGGAATCCCAACTGTTGACGATTTCCCGTCGCATGAAATATACAGCCGCTAGGATTGACCGCTTGCGGGGTGCTCACCGCATAGAGACATGCACCGCAATGCGTGAGACCATCAAGGAGCAAGTGATGAAGGCGATCAATGATCAGATCCAGGCACGCGATATTGTGGCCAAATACAGCCTTAAGCTTAAAGCGCTGCAGGAAGCCGAGATCATGAAGGTGGTTAAGCATATGCAAAGAATAGATAGAATCTGCCAGGAGAAGTGCACTAAGCTGGCCCATCTTAGAGGAATCATCACGGAGGAGCATGATCCCGCCAAGGTCCGCTGCCATCAGAAGGAAATCTATGCCCTGGTGAAGGCGCAGGAAAAGTTCAAGGATCTGCGCGACCGCTGGAAGCTTCGTCTGACGCAGATGGAGGCCGCCAAAGTCAAGTCACTAAAGCCTCCCAGCAGTAGCAAGTCGGTGAATGCAAGCAAGAAGGTAAGATTATCAGTTGAATTTAAAATTGCCAGGCAATTGTTCTTGTTGCTTAAAAGTTTTGGAAAACCTTCCTGAAAATACTGCAGGGCCTCAAGAGATGTTGACAGATTGCCAAAATGTCCAAGATTACCAAAGTCAGCTTTGTGATTTTTGTTTTTTAAATAATACTTGCTATTGACGATCAAATATTTAAAGGCGTACAAGTGTTCTCTATGTGAGGTTTTAGTTTTGTTTTTTAATAATGCCTCCTGATAAACGATCAGACATTGGACGGCGTACTCGTGCTGCACGTCGGCAAATGAAATATAGTAAGAATAAAACTCTAGATGAACGTGGCAAAGAAAATGCCCTAAAAAGGACCCAATATGCACAGGTTCGCACTGTAGAGACACCATTGTATCCGCATCTCTATGGGAATAAAACTCAATCAATAAAAGTAATATAATTCTTTTTTCAGATTTCTAAACCAAAACCTAAGACAGATGCGAAATCTACTAATGTCGTGACGAAAAATACAATAACGAATGTAAGATTTGTTCAACTGACACTGTATTTCTTAAGTTTGCCAGAATCAATAATTTTTAAATGAAATTCTATTACTCTTTTCAGGCTTCCACACCAAAGCCAAAGACTGTTACGGAAGCCACTCGTAAAGTCACTTCGGAAAACACCAATAAAAAAGTAAGGACAATCGGATTACTATATTTTATTATATATATTTATATAAAATTGAAATGTTTTTTAGATTTCATCGCCTAAGTCAAAGGCAAATACTAAATCCATACCCAAAACCGTGACTTTGAAATCAAAAGTAAGTATATTTAACACCTCCCATATAATACTTATTCAAAATTGTAATTTTTAGGATGAGATTGACAGTAGAAATAATGACAAGATACGCTGCAAAAGATGTGATTTTCTTCAACGTACGAATAAAAATAAAAAGAATTGCCCCAAGGTTTGCACAGTATGCTTGAAATGGGCTCATAAGGTGTTACAAGATGGTGTAGAGATACTTCCTAATAGAAATATACCAAACAATAATACAACGACTCCAAATTCAGCTGTGGTAAGCCAACGAAAAATAAAAATCACTTACAATGCTCAATAATAAAACTCCTTATAGACAACGCCTGCGAAAGAAAACGTGCATACAAATACTGAGTCCACGATTTCAGTGGAAATCGAAGTAAGTTTTTCCCTATATATTATAATCTTTTTATTTTGTAAACTTTAATATACAATACTTGTAGCCTGTAACGGACTTTAACATGATCCGGGAAAGTGTAACACAAATGGATGTACCTGAACCTTCTGTAGAAATTGAGGTAGTGTTATATTTAAAAATAGTTTTCAAAACCTTAACAAAATATCCATTTTATTTAGCCTCTCGATGAAACCATGAACGATGAAATTATGTCTGATGTCATAAAGGAAGACGAGGTATGTATAACAAATTACAAATAACTGAATACAATTTTATAATCATTGCTTTATGATCTGCAGACTGAGATCTTTGCCAAGACGGAATCAATAGACATCGAGGAAATCCCCTTGATTCAGGAAGACAAGGCATGTATAAACAAATCAATATATTGTAATACAATTTTATAAACATTGCTGTATGATCTGCAGACGGAAATCGTTGCCAAGACGGACTCAATAGACTTCGATGAAATCCGATTGATTCAGGATGGGTTGAAGGCCATCGATAATAAGAATACTGCTTTGGCACATGTGAGAATTCTGCAGGAATATGCCATGTTAAATTATAACTTTCGGGCCATCGGCCTTTTGTCTGAAGTTGAAGCCTCCATAATAATTCCAGAAAAAACTCCAAATTTTGAGGGCTAGCTGTGATCTTAGTTGATGATAACTTGATAACTGATAATTTTAAGGTATATATACTAGAACGTTATACATTTTTTTTTTTACCATTGATCCTTTATAACAGGTTCTGAATGGAAATAGATAATAAGCTTTACTTTAAAAGCTAACGAAATGAGCAGTTAAACTGAATTAACTTTAACTAAGGTGATCCTACTGAAGTCATTTATAATTTGATAATTTGCTGGTTCTACAACAGTTATTAAGCTTATATTGCCAAATAAAACTATACAAAATATAATAAACTGTTTTGAAACAACTAATAATTTATATTTTCTAAACAATTCCCCCAACAGATCACCACAATTTAAAATGTATTTAAACTAATTTAATTGCAGTAAAAAAATGTTTAATATTTGCAAATGTAAAAGCTTTATAAAGCTTATTTTCAGTCTCTCGGCACTCTCTCATTATGCTCTATTACCCTCGATGTGCCTAAAAAAATAAATGCGGTGGGTGATCGGGAGAGAGAGCTCTCTCCTATAACGCGCAGTTCACAACTCGTCAATCCGGTTTTGCTGCCCGCCAGAAGAGCGCAAGATTGCTCGATCGAGAGCGAATCGGTTGTTGTGTGTATATATATGTATGTATACATACAAATAATCTGTTGAACATGTGTTTTAGTCTTCGACCGACATTCAGACGATTTGGATATTCCTCTTGCGGATGTGCCTAAAAACCTGCTGCAAATTATTATTTCTGCTTCAATAATGCAATAACAACAATAACGGTTAGTAATTAATTTTAATAGTTAAAGCAAAGTATAATTTTTAACCTTGTTCGTAGGTACATATATAAATACACCCACCCAAAAGAGAGAGTAAACCCTCGTGGAGAGAGAGAGAGAACCAGTGGACATGTACTCTGACGTAAGTACTCGATGTACAGTGGGTAGAAAAAGCTTTCAAGCCAAAAAGTACAGTGGATCACAGAGTATTTGATAAACCATAGAAAATTCAATTAATAAATAATACAAAATATATAATATTCATATTAAATATTTTAAAAAATACCAATTAAATCTATTTCCATTTCCAGAACGATGAAGACAATCAAAGCGATGGAGCTGGTGGTATGCAACGGATCCGGAATGTGCTGACTCTGGAGGAGCGTGTGGCCGCCATTCGACAGTACGACATTGTGCCCATGTACAGCAAGATCGCTCGCAACTTCAATTGCAGCTGGGAGCAAATCAAGAGTGTGGTGGCCAATCGAACTGCCATCCTGGCATTCCACGAGGCCACCAATATCCTGAGCAATCAGGTCACCAAGGATGGGGAACTGCGCCGGCGGAAGCTAAACTTTTTGGGCCACTGCCTGTACGAGTATATCCAGAGGGCTCAGTTCTATCTGAACAGCGATGTGAATGAGGAACTGATCCGTAGCCGGGCCATTGAGTTTCGTGACCTGATGCGCATCGATGGCTTTACGCCGAACAAGCCCTGGATTAATCATTTTAAGGCTGCCTACAATATAACTCTCTCGAATCGTCAGATTACCATTACGCGAAGACCGCCGAGATCGATGGATTTAAGGGACATCATGTCATACTGCGGACGACACACCTCCATGGCCTGCAACTTGCTGCCCAGATCTCCGGAACCAACTCCGCCCACCAGCAGTGATCAAAGGGCCATCGAAAGACCTTTGTATCGGGCGAAGACCCTGATGAACACCTCTTGCCAGAATCAAGCCACTTCCGATGAGGTTCATATGCGAAGAAAGCGTAAGATCACCTTTCTGGAAAAGTGCCTCTACGAGTATATCCAGCGCTCGCAGGTGCATCACAAGGGGCGCCTTGACATGGACAATCTGCGATCTGTGGCCATTAGTTTGAGGGATATCTTGAAGATAGATAGCTTCTTCCCTGACAAGACCTGGTTCAATCATTTCAAGAACCACTACAATTTCACCTTTTCTGTGGGTGTTCCTGTGACCCATCGCCGGGTTCCACTCTCCTTGGATCTCCGTGATATCGTCAGCTATTGCAGCCGGCATGACCAAAAGATAACCCTGGCCCAAAAGCAATTGGATGGGAAAAAAACAACAGAATCTCCGAGAACTCCCACTGAAGACGAAGACGATGATGACTGTGTGGCCATAGAAATTCCTACTGAATTGATAGAAATCAAAGACGAAGATGAAGATGAAGACAAAAAGGTTGACTCAATCAGGAAACCGATTAAGCGAAAGATGGATGATAATTCCAACCAATGTTCCTTGAAGATAGAAAAGGTATACCATTCTCCACAACCCTTCAGTGATAATGATTCCATGGAAGCGGAAGTTAAGGAACCTGCACCTGCTCCCAGTCCTGGCCACAACCCAGAGGTCAGAAACGAGGCACAGCTGCCCAGCTGTGTGGAGAGCTACAAGGATGCTCTGCGTCTGCTGAAGCCTCTCGAGGATTTCGCCCTGATGGAGGAGAACTACCGGGCCATTGGCCTGCTCACCCAGCTGGAGAAGATTTTCGAGACGGGCAAAAAGGCTGCGGAAATGGGATCTTTTGCTAAATAAAAGTCCTAGCCTGTTGAAGGTTACGGATAAAGTTAATGTAAATATCAGCTTCATTATATTCATAAATATTTGTGTGTTCATTCATAATAGTACTTTTAACACGCTAGAATAATCTTGAGATAAAACATATATATTTGAAACTATTTTGCATACATATTATAAAATATTATTTACTAATTTCTTGGACTTTGTCTATGTAGATATAACTAAATTTCCCAATAATGTTTAATTAAAGTATAGAAATATGAACGAATTAATAATAAACACAAAAGTTTACTATAAATTGTTAATGACATATTTTACTCACTATAACAAATTCCTCTTATTATTTTCTAATAAAAACAAAACGTTATTTAAATTCAAAGTTAGCGGTGACTATAACGATTTTACATTTGAAACTCTGAAAGTAAAAACAAGTTATTGCTGATTTTTGGTAAGATTTATTTGGCATAGAACCGCTGCACTCTCTTATCAGTCACTTTTTGCTCTCTATTTTGTCTAAAAATAGAAATAGTTACAAACACACATCGATATACACACTGATCTCGGTAAAAGATCGAGAGAGCTCTCTCCCATAACGCTCTCTTTTGGAACTCGTCAATCCGGTTTCAATGAGCAAACCGTTTGGGAGAGAGTACATATGTATGAACAAATATATATATAATATATATATATATATAATCAGTTGAGCATGTGCTTTAGTTTTAAACGTTCACTTGATTTGGATTTCATTGTGTGCTCCGATTTTGTGCCTAAAAACTTGCTGCAGAATTGTTTATAAACCAATTTTTTGCTCCCAATCGAGAAACAACAAAAGCAAATTGTAGTAAAATTTGTAAAGATATTTTTTTTCCCCTAGGGAGAGAGAGAGAGTTTTTACACAACAATAGAGAGAGAGAGAGAGAAAGGTAAAACCTCCCTGAGAGAAAGAGCATGAGAGTGAGAACTTGAGTACAAGTACTGTAAGCAAACAAACATTCAATTACAGTGGCAGCAGTTTTTATTTCTTATTTTATTTTATTTATTTAACGAGTGACTAAACTAATAAAATAAATAAAATAATTAGAGCTTTTAAATTTAATTTACTTGAAACTTATTTGTTTTTTATATTATTTTTTTTAATAAACAAGATTAATGAAAAATAAATAAGTAAAAATTTTATATAAATTGAAATATATCTATATTCACAAATATAATTTAATTTTGTTCTTAAACGGTTTTAAATAATATATACTCTTATGAAGATATAGAACATCGTTCAATAATAAATCGATATATCGAAAGTGCCGTCACGAAAAACCGTCATGGTGAGAGTGCCACTGACGAACATTCTCTCTCACTGTATCTTTTGCTCTCCGCCATGCGAAAGATTGATTCTCTTTTATTTTCTTTGGAAGCAAATTTTAGTGTACAAAATGAGCAGCAAGAAGATAGAAGTGAGAAAGTCACGATTGTCAGGGTCTGGCGATTACTATTCATGGTAAATATAAACAAACTATTATAATAATATAATATTAAATATAATACAATTGTTATGAAGGCTAGAGAGCGAAAAGAAGCGCAAGCGGGCTGAGGCCAACAGGCGATACAGAGAGAAGAAAAACAAATTAAAGCCTCATCTTTCCAAGACAAGAGCCAAAACACATGCAGAGCACTGTCGAGAGTACAGAGAGCGTAAAAAGCTCCAAGCTAAAGCTGAAACAATAACCTATGATGATCCCGAATCGGATCAATATGAAGAAAACATCCCTTATGAACAGTTCCTACCACAAGATGGTCCTCAAAATGCAAAAAATTCGCAAGAAACAATTTATGCCTCGAGTATGGTAAGTTGTTATTAATTAATTTTAAATTAAAACTAAAAAAAAGGTACATATGACATGTATTTATATTACAGAATTTGCCTGAGATAGAAGAGGATCACCTCGAAGAAATACAAACTGAGAGTGAAGATAGTAAAAGTCAATTTAAAAGGAGTCAATTTATTCCGTCTTCTGTATCGGAAATGGTAAGTTAATATATTATAATAGGTTTATGTACAATATAATTTATATATATTTTATGTTTTTTAGAGTTTTGATGAGTTACTAGAGGACTCTGTTCAGGACTCAACAAGTACAAGAAACCAAAGTGAAAGTGATGGCATTAGCATAAGGTAAATATAACGAAGAAGAGTTTTGTTATGGGTCAGAAATGTCGGAAAAGATTGATATATTAAACATTTTTCGATTTAACTGATTAATAAGTTGAAACTTAAGGATAACAACTTCATTTTTTGTATAATACATAATATTTGTAAATTATTATTGTTATTATAGTGACATTGCTCCCAAAACCGAGTCGTTTGAGAACATGTCTGCAGCGGAAAAGGCAGCCGAGGCCGCCAGGCGGTACAGATTGATAAAAAAGATGATAAAGCCTATCAAACCTTCGGCTCTAACGGCTGCCCAGCGGAGTAAAGCCTACCGGGATCGTCAAAAAAATCTCCAATATGCGGCCAAAATAAAAACAGGAGACAGCAAAACCGTATGTTTTAATGAATTATCATTGAATTAAATTATTAAATGTATACGTTTTTCCAGAATATTAACAACCAAGCAGAGACGATAAGAACCCAACAAATAAATACAAATGTAAATATAAAAGGACAACTCAAAGATACACCCAAAACAGTTTCAGAAAAAAATAAAGAACGCCGAGACCGTCAAAGAAGTCTAATAATGGCTGCAATTGAAGAATTAAGGCAGCAGGAGATCCAAAAAAATATTAATTCAGTAACTGTAAGTACTAATTAATTATAAAATACTTTAATAAACCTAATGTATCATCAATTTCAGAATGGAGATCCTAATGAAAGCATCTCTAAAATAAATCTCCGAAGCGTTCTAACGCAGGATGAGTGTGTGGCTGCCATCCGTCAGTATGACATCCAACCCTTGTACGACCAGGTTGCTCAGAATTTCAACTGCACCGTCCAACAGATCATGAGCGTGATGTCCAACCGAAAGGCTATCCTGGAGTTCAATGAGACCACCATTACACTGAGCCAAAAGGGCAACGAAGATAGCGAATTGCGCAGGCGCAAACTCAACCTTTTTAGCTACTGCCTATATGAGTATACCCAAAGAGCTCAGTACCATCTCAACGAACAGATCAACGAAGAACTGATACTGGAACAAGCCATCAATTTCCGCGACCTCATGGCAATCGATAGCTTTACGCCAAATAAGAGCTATATTAATCAATTTATGGCCGCCTACGATGTAAATCGAGTAAACTGTTTGGTTAATATTCCACAAAAAACGCGAATGTCGTTGGACTTGAAGAACATTATGACCCATTGTGTACGACACTGTGCCATGGCTCCCAATCTGCAGCCAAGAGTTCTGACGCCAATTAAAATAGACGTTTCACAGCTTTTAAAATACACAAAGGCCTTGAAGAACCAGACGGAGATAGAACCTGAAAGCGATAATGATGTCGAGGTCATACCAAATGAATGTAATGAAGATTCAAATGACTCAATTAGGATACCGTCCTTCCAAAGTACTCTGAGCATTGAAAAAGTTGAGCACTCGCCGATTCAGATGGATGATTATCAGGATTTGGATGTAGATATGGATGTGCCAGAAATTGCAACTCCTCCCATGCACAACTTAGAGATTAGCGATGAGGAACCGCTTCCACACTCCGTGGAGACCTTTAAGGATGCCCTGCGTCTGCTGAAGCCCCTTGAGGATTTTGCTCTGATGAGGGAGAGTTATCGGGTAATAGGACTGCTCAGCCAGTTGGAGCAGATCTTTGAGGCTGGCAAAAAGGCTGAAGAGATGGGTACTTCTACTTAATAAGTGTTTAGTTAAATATTCTTATTATAATGTATAAATTTAAAGATAAAATTGCTGTAAATATAACGATATTAGGAGGTATGTATTAGGTTGTATGTAATATAATATGGAATAAGAAGTTAGGATGATCTGAAAGGAGAAATTTGAATTTGCTTTTTCGTTTTTGAATATATGAAAAATAACAAAATTTGATTTTTCAATTATCATATTATCAAATAATATTTGCTTATTTTCCAATAAAGTTTCTTTGTATACCACAAGTTAACTCTATACAATATTTATGTACATATATTAAATATATAATTTTCTTCAGAAAATATATTTAAATGTAATATTCATATAAATATAAGTATATCCTTTCAAATATAAGTGTGTATATCAGAAAAATAACCTTTAAAGGTGCTTCTAGTATTATGACGACTTAAAATGTATACTCAAAGTATAATCCCGGATAAGGATTGTCAAGGTGATGATGATTCCTGGCTACAGGAAGTCGCATATGGGGGTGGGTCCTAGTCCTTCGGTCTTTGACCAGGTTACATAATCGCCTGACGCTTCTCCACTCGCCGCCCCTAGCTGGAAGCACAATCAGCGCTGAAACTTTACGTTCGTCCTCTAAAACTTTACGCGTCCTGCCCGTCAAGGGAAAAGGGATGTGGGTAGCTGGGAAGCTAGGGGGATGTGAGGGCCCAGCTGGGATGGACAGAGGTGACCTGCAGCCCTGGAGTTGGACGTGCGGAAGTGGGCAGGGGGGGGGGGTAAAGCTGGGAAAACGGAGACGGTGCCGGAGCCGGAACAGAACCCTGTAGGTGCTACATCAATTCTAGATGGGTAGCAGCACAGCACCGGAGGCAGAGCAGCGAAGGGCGAAAGGCGAGGAGCGGATGCCAGGAGCGAAGCGCAGCAGTCAGCATCCCAGCGAAGGGACCTTGCGGTGCCAGGAGGTGGACACACACACACACACACACACACATCCATTTACAGGTTACTGAGCATATACGTGCAGAGGAAAAAAATAGTATCAAATATATCGATTTTATATGGTTTACTGTATGTGGTTTTAATGCCGCCCCGAAGGTGGGTATGAAAGCACATTTAATTTTATGTTGCGAAACACAGGATAACTTCTATTAAAGGATTTTTAGCCATTGTACTTTAGGGTTTATGGTAAAATATAACTATAACTAAAAAAATAAGAATGAAAACTAATTTTGGGATGCCGAAACTTTTATATCCTTGCAGTATGCAATCTAATTATAGGATCGAATCGAAATTGATCATCACTAAGCTTAAAATATATTTACATTCTATGATTCAATAATTAACGAGATTTTTATATGAAAAAGTTTAACTTTTGGGATTAATATAAAAGGGTATTACGAGTTATTTAGTTTACAATACTTTACTTTACAACGCTTTACAGCATTATATTTCTTTGGCTAACTTAATGATATATTTTTTATGTATCTATGTATTAATAACATAAATTCTCGTTGTGTTCACTGTAGTAAAGTTTCCAACAGAGGTAAAGTTTTCTGGAATCCTCCGATCGATTTGATATTTTATTACATATATGTATATACATTTTCCAGTGTGTGGAGGGCTCTACGACTACATAACCGGGACTATGGAGCTACATGCTCATTGCTACATCGCCATTGCCATCCGTCCTCGATTCCGGCAAAGTTTCTCGCCATACGTTTTGCAACCCCTTCTGAGCAGGAACAGAAGCTGACGCTGAAGCTGAAGCAGCAGGAGCAGGAGCTTCAGCAGGACTTTCATTTCAAGGATTTCCGACCGACGACGTCAGACTCGACTCAACTGACTGGGTCTCGACGATGACTACTATGAAGAGCACTCTGGTAGGGCGTACAGGTTGCCTTGCCTTGGTGTGGAAAACCTACGAGTGTTGTAGGGTTAGCTGGAGGGGCATTCGGTGGAAGAAGCAACATCAGTGCAAATACGAGCAGTAGCAGCAGGAGCAGGAGCAGGAGCAACAGTAGGGGCAACAGACTTTGGCTCAGGTTACTGCCACACGGCTGCGCCCCCAAAACAAAATTGAAACCCCAGCGCGTTAAGAGCTCTGACATAAAACCCTGAAAGCGAAATTGCCGTTGAGGGATATACGAGGCAAAAGGACGGGACGGACTACGAGTATATATACCTCTTCAAGCTCAACCTCATCCTCATCCACAATCGCTGTCACCTCTTCTTTGATGTTCCCCCCCTGGGCTCTATATGGTAGTATGTATACCATTACTGGCAAAAGGATGGATGTACTATAACCGGCGGGCAATCGTGTATGAAAATACACAATTGGGTACAGTCAACGTGGGCTTTTTTTGTGGGGGTCTTTCAAGCTCTATAAAGACTTTACAACGGTTTACAAAAGATCCTTGGGTGAGCAGGAAACAAGGATAATGGGCAAATCAGTCAAAGGGATTTTTGATTGAATCGTAAATAATATACGACTTTGAGACTACAAAGAGTTATATTATTTTTACTATGAAGAATTAAAGTATCATAAAAATATATAAGTATATTTTAAAACCAATCTAAAATTTATTATTTAGGCTATTACATATATATAAATAGAGGGAACGGGACGGATCGATATCATATAGCTGCCATAGGAACGATCGGAAATATGTAATAAACAAATTATAAAATTTTCCAGTTTTGAAAATATTTGCATCTAATTTAATATAAAATCATTGTGTATTATTTTATAATTTTAGTGTTAATTTTATTCAAATCGGATGACTATATTATATAGCTGTCATATGAACGATAGTAAATTAATTGGTTAGTTAGCTAGTTAGTTAGTTAGTTAGTTCGTTAGTTAATTAATTAGTTAGTTAGTTGGTTATTTCCCTATCTCAGCCTCTCTTACTCTCTCCGCCTTTAACCCCTCTCTCTCTCTCACTCAGCATGTCTATGTGCCTGCCTATCTCTAGAGATAACTCTAGCTGTAGGGGTTACTCACTCTCTCCCGCGCTCTCGCTCTAACTTTCTCTGCTCCTCTCCTTACTCGGGGAGTATAAATAGAGGCGCTGAGGGCCCGCGCGCCTCAGTCTGTCCTAGGGGTACCTAGTGTTAACATCTCCAGTGAAAGTGATAGTGACTACGCTTCAACCCCGAAAATATTACGTGGCCAATGGAATACTTCTGGATGACCAGCAAGAAGCTGACTTGGATGATGATACCTTCAAATGCCTAATTGAAGTCAGCAAGAATATACCTATACACTGGAAGGAGTTAATCAATGACTAAATAGGATACTGCGGTAAGTCTGAATCATTTTTCAAATATATTATGTATATAGGCGGGATTGGGCATATATCTAGAATCTGCTGTGCTAGCTATGTATTTATTTTCCAACTATGATAGTTCTTGTATTGCCATAGAGCCCATTACTTAGTTTTAATATAATGTGATGCTAAAATTGGTATTAACGACATATAGCCACGTATACTTTACGAATTGATTATAAAGAGTATTATAATTTTATTCAGAAGCTTAAAACGCACTGAAGGAGTCATTTCCGATCCTATAAATCATACATATTCTTGATCAGCATCAACAGCCGGGTCAATCTCCGGTAAAAAAATACGTTTTCAAAAATTTTTCGAAAATTTAAATAAAATTATTAAAATTGTTAAACTTAGACAAAAAATGTAATATTTTTCATTTTAAAACTTAGTACGCAGGTTTGTTAGCCCTATAAAAACTAGCACATGAAAGCTTGCCGAATATTATTTAATTAATTTTTGACTTAGTTATAACATTTTAAAAACTGTGATTTACCCAAAAATTTGCATATAAAAATATCGATTTAATTTATTTAATAAACATAAACATATTTCGGGTATTCTTATAGGCATACGTAGGCCAATAGGCCAATTGCTGCCAAAATTATATATAACAAAAGCCAAAAGTTTCTTGACACAAGGGAATTCCAATCTGCGTTTATCAAACGCTACTTTACCTCTTAATAAACTTAAGAGTTTTTGTCTATTTAATTGAGTATTGCATAAAATTTGATGAACATTTTTATAACCTCATCCAAACAGTGTGAGATTCGTTATTTTTTGTTCCATATGCTCTGGGGCCTTTGCTATTTACAGCTTTTATATAGCACTCCAGGATATAACTTTTGTTTTTATTGTATTAGAATCATCGAGTCCCCAGTGGTTCCGCAGGCTTTACTTGTTCCTAAGGGTGGGCATGGCGTGACCAACAGCCATACGAAAGTATCTCAGACTTTATTAAGGTAATTTTATCTTTTACATATACCTTTATGTATATAAAACCTCAACAGGAATTGCTTTTCTTTTGCTGAGAATAAGAGAGGTTTAATGGGTATTTATAGAAGCAATTTATTATCTTTATAAAGAACCTGTTTCTAAATAAAAATGTATATGTAAAATTCCCAAAGATTCTGTAGTTTACCCTAGACTTTCTTAAAATGTTTCCTTTTCAATAGAATTATCAGACATTCTTGAAAAAAAAGTACCAATCCCCTTCGTAATTTACCTTATTCACTTTGCAAAAATTAATTTAAAAAGTTCTGCAAGCGTTAGGAGGGGATCTTTTAGGGGGAAAAGAACGGAAATCAGTTTTCCCCATCTAACCACTGGCATCCTGTTAATGCCACACTCAATTTCCATTATTTACTTTTGCCGGCTTTTGTATATATAATATTGATTCTTTCATCATCCCAAACTCCCAACACCAGGGAACTCCCCCTTTAATCATTGAACAAATAAGTGTGAGGAGATGCAATAATCGTTGTCATTGTCTGCCAAATACGAATAAATCTCATTCCAAAAGTGAAGACCCAACACCCATGGAATAGGAATGAATACCTGTTCATCTGGAAAGTATACATAGAGCAAGATATTTATATATAAAGATACAGAGATACTTGGCTAAGAAATGATTATGAATCAAGTTGGTTTTTTCTGTTTTTGTTTCTCTTGGTTATTGATTTATTTCGGTATTTCTTACTACTGAAAGTACTTATATTTGGGTGCGTATTATAATGACATCGAGGATGTGGGACTTTATGCCCGTACATCTCATTTGGGTTGTCGGTTCGTCATAAGCCTCTTGGGCTTTGGATGCTGCAGG